GACAAGAAGAAGTACCACAGCAAATACGACGACTTCGACGCCTACTTCAAGGGCCACAAGGGCAAGGACTACAAGGGAGGCCACTACAAGGTAAGCGCTGGTCCGAGGAATGCTTCAGACGGACTGAATATAAGCAGAAAAAATATCTTTATAATGTGCATGGAGTGTGTAACCTAATAGTGACAATAACAACCTCTTCCAGGGAGGACATCACCACGACAAGCACGGCCACAAGGGGCACCACGAGAAGGGCAAGTACCACGATGACCACAAGGGCCACAAGGGCCACTACGGCGACAAAGGCCACTACGGACACAAGAGTTCCTACGGCAAGAAGGGAGGACACAAGGGGTCGTATGGCCATGACGACCACAAGGGATATGGCCACGACGACCACAAGGGATATGGCCACGACGACCACAAGGGATATGGTCACGACGACCACGGCCATGGTGGATATGGCCACGACGACCACGGTCATGGCGGTTATGGCCACGACGACCACGGCCACGGTGGATATGGCCACGACGACCACGGCCATGGTGGATATGGCCACGACGACCACGGCCATGGCGGTTATGGCCACGACGATCACGGCCACGGTGGATATGGCCACGACGACCACGGCCATGGCGGTTATGGCCACGACGATCACGGCCACGGTGGATATGGCCACGACGACCACGGCCATGGCGGTTATGGCCACGACGATCACGGCCACGGGGGATATGGCCACGACGACCACGGACACGGTGGATATGGCCACGACGACCACGGCCATGGCGGTTATGGCCACGACGATCACGGCCACGGTGGATATGGCCACGACGACCATGGTGGATATGGTTCACATTCCAATGTCAGGCCAGTCTTCGCCTCCCCAGAAAACCCTGTCGCCGTTGCCACTGACCAGGCACTTTCCACGTGATCCAGAGATGAATGTCTATTTCCTCAAAGGCAAGAAAAATAAATATTTGATCTAATATACATTATCTTCATTTCGCCTTCCTTAGTGTATATGTAAAAAAAACTAAGTTCCAAACTTCACTCCTATCCTAGTGAGCCAAAAGTCTCCTGCTTTCTATACTGGATTTATACACAATGATATAACACTATATATAACTTAATTGTCGTGCAGATTACACAGTTAATGGATTCTCTAAAGGCGTTCCTTCTAGACTTGCTTTGTATTCAAATGAAAGAATTGTTGCATGGGTAAAAGTCTCTATGTTGACCTGTTGTGGGTGTTCTATAGATAATCGTGACAAGGTAACATTGTATCAGGTACTTATAGAGTGAAAATTTCTGAATACGTACATGCTAAATTCATTATATAAACAATATCTACGTTTTGTATAATTTAGTAAATGTTGCTTTAAAACATCTGTAGATTGTGTTATAGTTCAAATACCTTTTTATAGTCGTGAATCCAGCATCTAAAAGTTCATAAGTTGCTTTGATGATTCACCTTCAAATTAGAAACACATACACATTTGTGTGCTTATATATATATATATATATATATAATTAAAGATCCTATCGTTAAAGAGTCGATCAAATCCGCGAAATGCAACGTACCTACTAACTCAGTAGTGGACTCTGGTGGTAGTAAGCTACACTGACGGTATGACACACAGTAAATATAGAACATCTAATGTCATTAGATATACTGTGTGCATGTGCAATAGCAAACATTTGGACAGTATTGCGAAATGCAGTGGGAGTATTATTGTCCTCCATGCCATGCAAGACGTAATTTATATTTTTAACGTTTTCCAAGGGGCGAAGAATTTAAAGCAGGATTTAAGGCATTAAAACAAGACTCATTATTCTTTTCGGACCACGGTTAGTGCCCATTCATGACTACACTACATCGAACAACGCTTACTATATTGGGATATTTTTCAGTCACATTGACTCTACAATCATTAAAAACTAGTACTCTTGCTATATCAAAATCTAAATGTGTGTCGTGCTATGCATAATATAAGACGGTAATTTTGTAGTTTCACATAGTCATCCAATCTTGCAAATATTATTTCGTTTGTTTTGCTGGTTTGTTTACGATTCAAGAGTGAAACTTCTACGAAAAAACAGCGCGATTTGCTCATAGAGCTTGTCAGTGGCAAAAAATGTATAATAAACACGACTTCTGGATTGTCAACAAAAAGAAAGAAGCTTGGGAAGATGCTGCTGTCTAGATGTGGGAGCGACTGAAGGGAAGATAAGTAAATTTACATTGAGATATTCAGTGACATATCAGATAAGGTTCAACTACATATCGTCGTATGAATTATTCGTTTTGACAGTAACATTCACTGAAAGGAAGTATCTTATATATGTTCCATATTTCTTTCAAAGGGTCCATGTTTGGAATCTACATTTACATACAGTAATAATAATAATCACAATCATAATTATAATATAATTCACAGGACAAAACAGGGGCATGCAATATAGATAAGAGAGCTATTAAAGACTGGGGGTGGAGTTCCTACAAGAGCTATAAAGGACAGGACAAAATTTATGATATATGAAATGAACTAAAAGTCCTTGCCAATATGTGTGCCAACGATGTTCTTACTGGTGAGTGGTACAATTATAGCAAATTGAATAAAAAAAAATGTTTATGTAGATGCTTATATAAAGGGTGTATTTTTTTTTTTTTTTTTTTTTTTTTTTTTTACTGCATACGGACTCTAATATATAATTTATTTGTCTAATCTCATCTCCAGCTTTCCACATGCTACTCAGTTGAAGTCTCAAGTGTGTATGGATAAGGACTTAGATGACCCTTGACCAAGTACATCGAACAGTAGCTGATATTCACTCATACACGTTAATTTGAACAAACAACAAATCCCCATAAGAAAATTGAAGGAGAACAGATATTCAGCCCAGCTTCAGAGTGTTATAAACAGTCCCTTAAAAAAAAACATTGAAAGAAAGCACGAAATGGGCGTAAAAATAAAGGAAGCAGTTTATTTTTACCTATAGAATCAGAAGACACTTTGCAGAAAGTGCAATTGATGCATTTAAAGAGGCTACAATTACTGCTAATAGGCGTGCAAGAGACAGCCAAGACTGTTTTTAGAAATTATCAAAAACAATTATTTTTCCCTTTGATTTGCTAAAGTATGACAGCATAAAGTTTTGTATTTACATATACTAATTAATATGTACTTATTTTCGCATTTTTTGTTGCCTATGAAAGTATAAACATATCTATATTTACTATCTAACAACAAATATACAAAGTAACTTTTCTCTTGAAGCCTAAAACATGGTAAGTAGGTACAAATTAGGATTAATATAAAATTATCTGTAGTAGATAGTAAATACAGTAGTGAATCAAAGCTGCCGTGGATTCTTTCTCACTGTGGCGCCTCAGTAAGGAAGAACCCTACCAATGAACGACTTTTGCAATCCCTCAAGAGAAAATAAGACTTTTGACTTTCAAATCCGTGAATGAAAAGTAATCGCTTTTGAATGTTAACCCTTTCATCATCAAAAAGGTCCTTGATGGTCAAGTGAATGGTAATTTTGAATTTGTTAGATAGTTATCCCTGTTGGCTCGAATGCTTGTAAAGGAGTTTCTTTTTTTTTTCCTTTTTTTTACAGGAATTTAAGGAAAATGGAGAAGGGTGAAATTCTTGAAAACATGAAGGACCAAAGCATAAATCAATACAGATTCTTGTGTTATAAGCCGGAACTTAGTCATCTGTTAGGTCAACCACAGTCAGCACTCACGGCACCAGTGTTTGATCTCTCGAGGCGATATATCGTAGTGAGAGGAACTCAGGATCACGATACATACACACACACACACATATATATGTGTGTGTATGCATGTATATATATATATATATATATATATATATATGTGTGTGTGTGTGTGTGTGTGTGTGTGTGTGTGTGTGTGTATACACACGCACATCTATGTATATACATATGTATATATGCACACACACACACACACACATATATATATATATATATATATATATATATATATATATGTATGTATGTATAGACAGGTATAAACACACACACGCACTTACATATACATATGTGATGATTCCATCAAACATTTATATTTTATTTTCTGTGAAAGAAACTGAAGCTGAGGCTTACAGATTGATTACTAGCCCGTAGCTAGTAATGATTAAAACAGCTATTCCAATTACCATTTACGTTATGTTTCGGCACTAGGTTTTTACATCAGGTTACCATGATTTTAGTACTTAAATGTTATATCATGTTAAAGTTTACGTACTGAGTTTTCGAAAGTGAGTATAGCAATAAAGGAACATTATCCATTCACTACTTTGACTGGGAGCCTCATATTTATATATGCCTTCATGTATACATACATTCACCCTCCCCCACATTATATGTATATATATATATTTATATTTATTCATTGCTGTATTGTGTATGTGCATAGGTGTGTACACACAACATGCAGATCTGCCGCAACGAAATGAGGGATTTTTTTTTTATCGTATTTAGTGCCCACAGCAAAAACGAATATTAATTTTGCCAGACAAGTAGACATACATCTCAGATTAAAAAAAAAAGGTTCAATACCGCTACCTTATCACCATTTGATACGAATTGACTCTTGATTAGCTCCTGTTTGATAGTTAATATAAAAAGGGTACAATTGAAGGAATTTGCCAGTGACAGGGTTATGTGATTTTTTTGACAAAAGGTCCTTTCAGAGTCGTTGTAGCCCAAACTTTTATCGATTTTTCAGTTACACATTTAGCCAGGATTTAGAAAATGGAAAATCTTATAAAGCTATTGACTGAAAAAATAATTTTCCGCATTATAATGGGCTGGATGAAAATTACTGTGTATGAGTTTATTTTTACTATTTCGGTGATGATTCTGTATCGCTGAGAAAAGTGTTATTGAAACTAATATTTTACAAGGAATCTTCTCTTTTCTTGTAAATAAAGCAACAGCTTACCATATATACAAAAACTTGCAGCTACTTATGCAAACTTGGCAAAATCTCCAAACTGCTCAAAGGTTTCACTAAATGCTTTGTGCTCGAAGGCCGGAAGTGCTCTCGCGGCGTCCGAAGCGCTTGCCGAGGATGAGGCGACGACTGGCTTGGCTTCAGAGTGTGAACCGTAACCACCATGATCATGGCCATATCCACCATGGCCGTGGTCGTCGTGGCCATATCCGCCATGGCCGTGGTCGTCGTGGCCATATCCACCGTGGCCGTGGTCGTCGTGGCCATATCCACCATGGCCGTGGTCATCGTGACCATATCCACCATGGCCGTGGTCGTCGTGGCCATATCCACCATGACCGTGGTCGTCGTGGCCATATCCACCATGACCGTGGTCGTCGTGGCCATATCCACCATGGCCGTGGTCATCGTGACCATATCCACCATGGCCGTGGTCGTCGTGGCCATATCCCTTGTGGTCGTCATGGCCATACGATCCCTTGTGTCCTCCCTTCTTGCCGTAGGAACTCTTGTGTCCGTAGTGGCCTTTGTCGCCGTAGTGGCCCTTGTGGCCCTTGTGGTCATCGTGGTACTTGCCCTTCTCGTGGTGCCCCTTGTGGCCGTATTTGTCGTGGTGATGTCCTCCCTGAAAGTGGTTAATATTGTCATTATTGTGTTGCGCACTTCATACACAGACGATATGTATTATTTCTTTATTTTTGGTTTATTTCTTGCCTACCTTGTAGTGGCCTCCCTTGTAGTCCTTGCCCTTGTGGCCCTTGTGGTCATCGTGGTACTTGCCCTTCTCGTGGTGCCCCTTGTGGCCGTATTTGTCGTGGTGATGTCCTCCCTGAAAGTGGTTAATATTGTCATTATTGTGTTGCGCACTTCATACACAGACGATATGTATTATTTCTTTATTTTTGGTTTATTTCTTGCCTACCTTGTAGTGGCCTCCCTTGTAGTCCTTGCCCTTGTGGCCCTTGTGGTCATCGTGGTACTTGCCCTTCTCGTGGTGCCCCTTGTGGCCGTATTTGTCGTGGTGATGTCCTCCCTGAAAGTGGTTAATATTGTCATTATTGTGTTGCGCACTTCATACACAGACGATATGTATTATTTCTTTATTTTTGGTTTATTTCTTGCCTACCTTGTAGTGGCCTCCCTTGTAGTCCTTGCCCTTGTGGCCCTTGTGGTCATCGTGGTACTTGCCCTTCTCGTGGTGCCCCTTGTGGCCGTATTTGTCGTGGTGATGTCCTCCCTGAAAGTGGTTAATATTGTCATTATTGTGTTGCGCACTTCATACACAGACGATATGTATTATTTCTTTATTTTTGGTTTATTTCTTCTCACCTTGTAGTGGGCCTTTCCATGGTCGCCGTAGTGGCTGCCTTTGTAGCCTTTGTTGGCTTTATGTCCCTTGTGACCCTTATAGCCGGCCTTGTCATGGTACGAGCCCTTATATCCCTTGTCGGCCTTGTGACCTTTTCCACCTCCGTAACCTGTTAGATATTTTAAGTAGTCTGATGTTAAAACCCATAACAGAAGCGCCTGCGAGAATGACATCTAACACGCTAATGTATTTAAAACCTCGCAGAAAAATCATGTCCCTGGATAAAGGAGATATTTTCATACCAGTGGCAGATGGCTGAAGGTCTGTCGCGGCGACCACGGAGACCTGTTGGCTCCCCACTGGCAAGAGAACGTCGACCTCCTGCGGGCCTTGAAGGAAGCCGACTCTAAGGTCCGCCTCCTCCTGCTCCCCCTTGACTGAGGCAGAAAGGGCCACCGCCAGTATGATGGTGGCTTGAATCTGATGGAAATTGGATTTGATAATATGGAATTAAGTAGCTTTTATATTTTCATTTTCACACGAGTATATCACACATTCACACAGAGTAAGAGAGAGAAAGCGATAATTAGATGGATCACACACACACATATCAGAGAGAGAGAGAGAGCTAGAGAGAGAGAAAGGGACAGAGAGAGAGAGAGAGAGAAAGAGAGAGAGAAAGAGAGAAAGAAAGAGAGAAAGAGAGAGAGAGAGAGAGAGACAGAGAGACAGAGAGAGTGGGAGAGAGAGACGGAATTAGTCAGAGGGGAGAGGCCCGTGAAACGCACCCATCTGACTTCCTTCATCTTGAACACTGTCAACAAGATCCCCTGACGAGTCGTCGCTAGCAGAGGTCGACGCCTACTGACTTTTCACCTGCCTTTCCTTCTCTTTATAGGCAAGAAGGCGCATCCACTTGGTTTCACTTCACGTGCCATGAAAAGAGAGAGGCGGGCCATTCGTTATGCATTCAACAGTTAACGAGAAAAGTAAAGTAATTCAGTATCAAAAAGCTAGAGCACGTGCATAAATAGCTTCGCTAACATATGTGATACATATTCATATTTATATATTGGTACACACACTTACCGCACACGCTCACACCTACACACTCACACACACACACACACACACACACACACACACACGCACACACACACACACGCACACACACACACACACGCACACACACACACATACACAA